TAGCTTTTACCGTAATTCTTCATAGTTATACTCATCGAAGATCTTCTTGCCGTACTATTCTTACTGTTAGAAGTCGTTGTAGTAGCTTCAGCAGCTGCAGTAGTAGTAGTAGATGTAGTAGTAGTAGTAGTAGTAGTAGTAGTAGTAGCGGTAACAGTAGTAGTAGTAGTGGTGGTGGTGGTGGTGTTTGATGATCTATCTGAAATTGAGGAATTAATTTCGGTATTACCATCTATACTGCTGGCTCTGGCTTTGATAAATTTCTTTGCCTTATTATTAATATTATTGTTTCTATTATTATTGTTATTATTATTAATGTTGTTGTTGTTGTTGTTTATATTGAGTTCGGGTTTTTCCGAGTTATTTTTAGTGACGTAATTCTCAAGATCGTTATCAGCAGCGAGCCGCCATGTTGGCGTTTTTTGAGATGACGTTGTAGCTGTTGAGGACGATGTAGAAGTTGTTGTTGTTGATGGTGTTGTTGTTGGTGTTGATGTTGATGTTGTTGAAGATGATGTAGAAGTTGTTGTTGATGTTGTTGTTGTTGTTGTTGTTGTTGCTGTTGTTAATGTTGTTGTTGATGTTGTTGTTGATGTTGTTGTTGTTGTTGTTGTTGATGTTGTTGTTGCAACTCGCGAGGACATTAATAAAGTTTGCGTCGCTTCTTTTGACGACGACGACGACGTTTGATGAAGCGACGATGACGCTACTGCAGCAGCAGCTGGTGGTAGCAGTGTCGGCGACAACGGCAGCGGTGGTTGTAGTGGTGATGATGACGATTGCGGAGGAGGTGATGATGATGATGGTGGGGGCGTGGGGCGGGCTAGCTGTAATGTTCCCTTCGCTATCAACATCGCCAGACCAGCTGATAATAATAATAATAATAATAATCGTCATCATCATCATCATCATCGTCATCATCATCAGTACTTGTATTAGTAACGTCCAGTGAGTTAAGAGCTGAAGCTTGCAAGTTCTTATTGAAGAGAGATTTCCCTCCTGATGATGATGTTGGTGATGATGATGATGACGATGATGATGAAGTTGGTGATGATGATGTTGGTGATGATGATGATGATGACAATGATGATGAAGTTGGTGATGATGATGATGACGATGATGATGATGATGACAATGATGATGATGTTGGTGATGATGATGTTGGTGATGATGATGAAGATGATGATGATGAAAATCATACCCATCAAGATTTAATTAAAACTCCATCAAAAAGCTCCAAAAGAATGCACACGGCAAGCAAAACATTTCGAAATCATCATCTCAATAAATAAAAAATATTCTATTGGCATTATTATTACTATTATATTATTATTATAATATTATTATTATATTATTATAATTATTGTTATTTTATTATTGCTATTCTTATTTATCGAGTTAAAGATCAAGAAACTACAGACTATTGAAATATGAAAAGAGTTTGAATTCACTTCTGGACGCTGACTTTGAGAAATGTTCAATATTTTCTAAAAACATTTAAAATAACCCCGATTGGTTTTTTCAATATTTGGAATTTGACGCTAATTAAAAATCCATAGTCGATTTAACTTATTAACAAATTAATAGACTCTGTAATCAGATCGACCTAGGCCTTTTAATGCGATAGGAACACTCCATAGCCAATTTGAATACATTACCGTCTTACCCTTGTCCTTGTAATGAGCATTGTGGTTTTTACTGAACATTATTGCATTTTTTAATTATTTTATTTCATTTTAACGATTTTGGTTGAAATAAAAGAGTTTTCATTCAGTCGGCCCATGTTAAACCATTCTCACGGACACGGACCATCTTTCAACACAAAAAGCGCTAGATCAGCCACTGCTATTATTATTATTATTATTACTATTTATATAATTATTATCATAAATATTTATATAATTAATAATTAGGACTACCTTTTTTAGCAGTTTGTCTGACGTTTTTGTGTGGCTGAAAGACTACAACGTAGACTTTCGGTAAGAATATGCAAGCGAGGTTGATGTAGGCACTGATGCTAACACACATGCACAAGCCGGAGATCTGGATCTTCATTGGTTGGTTGATTGGTTGGTTGGTTGATTAATTGGTTGATTAATTGGTTGGTTGGTTAGTTGGTTGATTAATTGGTTGGTTGATTGGGTGATTGGTTGGTTGGTTGGTTGGTTGACTAGTTGATTGATTGATTTGTAGTCTGGTTGATTGGTTGGTTGATTAATTGGTTGATTAATTGGTTGGTTGGTTGATTAATTGGTTGGTTAATTGGGTGATTGGTTGGTTGGTTGGTTGATTGATTTGTAGTCTGGTTGATTGTTTGCATTTGTTTATAAAAAAATTAAAAATTGGCGAGTGAATGAACGAACGAACGAACGAACGAACAAATGAATTGAAGAATCAATCAGTTTTAACGCCAACCCTGAAATCGCCCTTAAGACTGCCGAAATAGATCGGGACGTAGCTGGTCCAAACGACACAAGTAGCGTACATGGCAAACGCAATGTATTTCGTCTCGTTAAAGTTTTCCGGTATTTTTCGAGTTTTAACGGCATACACGGTACACAGCACAACTAAGAGCATGTTGTAGAGTAGCGAAACCGCTATTGGGGTACCTCCGTTGTTACATCGATACCACACCGTGCCTCGGTCCGGGTATTGAACCGACGGTTTCGGCGGATCCAGTACCGAATATGCCACCGAACCGAGCAACTGAATCGACACCAGGCCAGCACATATAATCAACTGCGATCTCGGACTAGTAAAAATCGGCTTCTTTCGACCGGATTTCGATCCTTGGTTGAATATTCGCGAGATCCGATTAGTCTTCGTGAAAAGTGCCGAGTAGGAAATGGATAACGAGGCGCCCAGCCCTAACCGGAAGAGAGG